TGGATCTCGCTCTGTAGACCAGGCTGGCCTCAAATCCAGGGATCTGCCTGCCTCTGCTTCCTGGGTCCTAGGATTAAAGGCGTGTTCTTCCATCACTTGGCTCTCATAGTTTCTTAACCATATATACTTTTAAAAACAAAACACCTTCCTGTTTGGTCCCCTAACAAAATATAAATGACAAATTTGCTAGGAACTTTGATATCCATAATTGATCAGATCAAGTTCGTGAGAAGTGACAGTCCCTACATGCATTCACATATCTCTAAAGGGAAGCACTCCAGAGGAAGGGAATATACGCAGGTAATCCAGGAAGAAAATGACCTGTGCTCACTAGGCAAGATGTAGTAGAAAGTAAGAAATAGTTTGCCACTGCCTGCTTGCTTCTTTCCCTGCTTCCCCTACCTCTTTCTCTCTTCCACTTTCCAAAATGCTAGCGATGACAAACTCTGAGTTTCCTGACTTGTCAGTTTAAAAACAGTCTTGAAGTTCTTAAACATTATCTTAGACAAGATTTGGGGTATCCAATTTTTCTATTAATAGCATACGGGTCTCATATGGTTTTCTTCTCAGGCTTGTGGCATTATACTGTAATGTACAGAGGCCAAAGCATTTTTTTCGTTCATTCTTTTAAAAAATGGGTGAACTCAAATGGAGGTCACAGGTAATTCTCATAGAAAATAGCCTCTAATGAGAGAAAACTTTAAAATGACCAATTATCAGCAGGATAGCAATGGAAACATATAACCAATTTTGTGTGTGTGTTTCCCAGCATCAATGGAAAGACAGTTAGCAGCTGTTGACCTTCACGGGTCTGAGCTAGATGGATTTCAGGACACTCCTACTTCTCTGTGTCTCAGGTTAATCTACTACCTGACATTAATCAATGTCTGCAACATCCAGTATCAGTACTGTATAACTCAGTTTGGTGATTTAGTGTCTGATTCTTTCAGCTCTAGTTTTCCTTTTGTTTGTGTTTCACATGGGGTTAAAGGGGTCAGTTATGCCAGGAGCTACGAGGAGCAGTCACGGTAGATTCCATTTGTTGCTGTCAGTCCTCAGCCGCCTGTCCTCACAGACTTGCAGAACGTTTCTGCTCACCCACATGAAGACAGTAATTGATTGGCAGGAGCCCTATTTTACGTTCTGTTTAGGGCACCTACTAGTGTCTCTACTTCCCACTGAAGAGATTTCAATTAGCACAGCACAAGTGGGACTAACTTTTCACTGCTCAATATACTTACCAGCTGTCTTGACATCTCTGGAGTCTTCTGATCCTGGCTACCCAGTATGCTCACAGATACTGGGAAGACTCTTCCAAGTTTTTCCTTTTCTCTCAATTTCGTTTTTTCACCCATCTAATAGAAAACTGATTTACTCAGAGAATATATATGTGTGTGTGTGTGTGTGTGTGTGTGTGTGTGTGTGTGCGATTATATATCAGAGAAGTAAACATTAATTGATCACAATGAGGAAATACTGAGTTCCTTTCTATTTAAGCAAAAACAAAACTCTGAAAACAACTCAGTGAATGCTACTCTCATCACAGCTTCAGGATATATAACCTGTCCACTCTTCAGCCAGAGCATCAGCAGCTACATCTTTGAACATGCATTTCTCATAGACAGTACAATGTTTGTGTTCATTGTCTACTTCCATGAATTTCTAACAGCTGGAGGCTAGGAAGGAGATATTCAGCTTCATTCACACATGGCCAAGGGCCTAGGAGGTGCCAGGAAAAAGCACTTTCTGGGAATCCTAACTGTAATATGTTGCAAACAGAAAATTTAAAAAGGAACAGAGGCAGTGATTGCTTAGGAAGTTATAAGCCGAGGAATGAGGGTTACAGGCATTCCCCCCCCATGTGGGAAGGGCTTTCCCTGGTGCTAACTCTATAGATTCACATTTCTACTCTCTAGAAGTTCACAGCAATACATTTCTGATGTATTTCGAAGAAGAATTAGAACATGATTATTTCTGATAGGTTTACTTGGAGAGTTCTGAACTTTTATTTAAAAATTTTAACTTTCAGCCGGGCGGTGGTGGCGCACGCCTTTAATCCCAGCACTCGGGAGGCAGAGGCAGGCGGATCTCTGTGAGTTCAAGGCCGGGCTGGACCAATAGCCTCCAAAACAATACAGAGAAACCCTGTCTCGTAAAAACCAAAAAAAAAAAATTTAACTTTCCCACAGAAGTAATAACGAAATGAGGAATTGTCAGAAAATTATTCAGTGAGAGGAAATTGCTTTAAAAGACATGTGTAGGGGACAGGGCTGGAAATGAATTCCGTCAGATGTTTATTTTATACTCTTCTTAAAGCTTTCCTGCAGGTATATAGTGGATGTCAAACATGCTCACCCTCACACTTTCTACCCTCCCTTTTCTTGCTCCCCTGGTCCTGTTAGTGCCTTTGTCTCATAGACAGTTTTGCTTCTACTTTCATGTTATATGTATATGAAAACATGTACAAATTCACACGAGCCTATAATCTATGTAGAATCTAGGCAGCACGATTGAGCCTCGAAACATGGCACTGAACATTGGTCAGTTGTACTACCAACTTCAGCTCACATTCAAATAAAATCACCTAGGTGGAAACGCTCAGTCCAGTCGCCACCCAAATCATTGATCAGTCATTGAAGGTGGCTGGGGCCAAATGCTGAAATTGGTGATCTGTAGCCTTTGAGGATTCAAAGTTTGAGAACGCAGCAGGCCTGGCCTCCAGGTGTTGTCTGCACAGTGCAATCAAAGAGCTGTGTTCGGAGACACTGTCACACTGGCCAGGCAGAGCACTGGAGCTCACCGGTGTGATGCTTCAGAAGCACCCAATTAATGCTGCCTTTTTGGTTAAGTTTCCCCTTTCTGCTCCTGGCCCTTCTTAACGGATCCCAGCAGGCTGAGGAAGTGGGTCCCAGTCAGATAGTAACAGGAGAGACACCCTCCTGTGCCTGGGTCCGGCCAGTATCAGTCCTGGGCTGCAAGAGCCATCTATCCTGGGCTGATATCTTTGTGGCTGTGTTCAGGACCAGCAGAACAGTGCAGGCTTCACCCCCCTCCTCTGGGTCTGACCCTGAGTAGGGGAGTGTGGATCAGGGAAGTCCTAGCTACCCAAAGATGTTCACAGACATCTTGTCATTTCAGGAGGATCTCTGTCCATACTGGAGGCACCAGTTTATTCAAGCATCCTCTTAAATAGCTTTCTAAAAGCAGGGGTACCGGCAGAAGACATCTATTATGTATATAAGGCCGACTAGGAAACACTTCCTTTAAGCCTAGAGATGGTCCTAGAATGCACTTATACACTCTCATAACCTGCAAGTCTCTCTAGTCTTCAGGTATGTCTCAGTGGTCCCCAGGCATGTCCCCATGATGAGTGTGGGGCCTAGATCTATTGTTACACAAACTAGAAGACTTTCTAAACTGTGGCCAGGCCATCCACAGGTAGACAGCTCACATCTAAAAGACAATAAGAGATCTGAGCTCCCAACACAGTTAACAAAGGACAGGAGCAGATAGAGGATGCAAGGGCCTGGGGCGCCTGTGTCCCCACCTAGGACAGGGCATCCAATGAGTCAGCAAGGAAGGAAATAGCAGAATCAGGTAGTCTAGCATGGAGCTGTTTTAGTTTCCTGTCACTTTTGTTCTGCTTGAAAGATGCTAACTTCCTGATCGGAGGTCCCCATTCACAGATCTGGGGAGTGTGGAGAAGAGGGCAGCAAAGGGTGGGGGGAGCACCTGGCATCTCTCTGGTACCTGTCTCTCGAGGCAGAGACCTGGCTAAGCACCCAGAGGAGAAATTGGTACCAGAGGGTGGGCTGTTGCAGACAGCAAAGCTGGAAAGGTTAAGTCATTTAAGCCCTTTGAAGGGAAAGTCCCAGACATCAGACATGGAGCTGCAGGTTTCTCTTGTTCGTCCCAGGAGGTTTCAGTCTTGCTGCAGTCCGGTATTTCCTCACTATGCCCCCATTCCTCCCTTTAAAATGACAATGATTATTTTGCGCCATTGTGTGTTGGAAGTATGTTATTTGCTTTTAGGTTTTATAGGTGGCTACAGTTAAGAGATTGCCCCAAGTCTCAGAGATGTTGACTTTCTGAAGCAGTGTTCAGACTGAGGAAGACTATGGTCACCCTTAAAGTTGAACTGAGCACATTTTGCATTATGATATGGCCACAAGCCTAAGGGAGACAGGGAGAAGGGGGTGGTGGCGTGAATGAGAAGTGTTGTCCAGAAGCTCATGCATCTGAATCCTTGTTTCCCAGTTGATGGTGTTTGGGGAAGTTGGGGATGTGAAGGTTTGCTGAACAAGACTGCCGCTGGGGTAGGCTTTGAGAGCTTATAGCCTGTCCCGGTCCCAGTCTGTTCCGTCTGCTCTGTGTTTGCCACTGAAGATGTGACAGCTCAGCTTCTTGTTCTTGCTGCCATGCCTCTCCACCGTGATGAGCCTCAGGGAACCATGAGCCACAGGAACTCCTCCTTCCATAAGCCACTTTGGAGATGGTGTTTTATCACGGCAATAGAAAAATAAGTAGTGCACATAATGAAAAAGAACCCAAAAATCATAGAAAATGAGCTGGGTGTGGTGGCATGCACCAAGACACCGAGGCTGAAGGATCAGTGAGTTTGAGACTACTCTGGGCTACATATCCCTGTGCTGTCTCTAAAATAATAATAATAATCAACCTACAACAAAACTAAGCAAAATGGGCTGGGTATATGGCCTAAGAGATTAGAATTAGAGCACTGGCTGCTCTTCTAGAAGAGCTGGGTTCATATTCCAGCATCAACAGGTTGGCTCACAGCTGTTTGTAACTCCAGTTCCAAGGGATTCAATGTCCTCTTCTGCCCTCTGTGGGGCACCAGGGACACAAGTAGTGCATGGTTATACAAACAGGTAAAACAACCACTCATACAAAATAAAAATAATTTTTAAAGACCCCATTGGAAACAAGTCTATTTTGTGATATTTAAAATGCCATGGCTTGGGCTATATAAACATTAAACATGCTTTTTCTGTTTTTATTTTTACAAAATCATATTTTATCAAGACAATGACTGAAAATTCCTTACAATTAAAAAACAGCCTTTATTCTGACAAAATTACATTCCTTCATAGTAGTTAGTAGTTTGGTGCTAGATGTTTGCTCTAATATTTGAGGAAGATGTATAATATACAGAAAAGTAATGCTAGCTTTTTCAAAGATATCTGAAAAAATATCCCCATATACCTTTGCACATAATATACAGAACTATAGAGTCTGACAATGTAGAAATTCCCAGGAATTCCTTAATGTACTGCAAAATACAAAAGGCAAAAGAAGACATATATGAATAATATTCAAACATTCCGGCATGTATGGGGCTTCTCTAGGTAGAGTGCAACTTTACATATGTAGACACAAAGGAGGTTTCAGACACGTGTGGAGCAAACAGAAGCACCAACTGTTCAAATTACACTTGATCTTGAAGATGAGCAAGCCTGTGACAGCACATCCTTGAAGAGGCCAAACTGACAAATCAAAGGCTGTAAGAAATATAATAAACCACTAAAAATTTTAACCTCTTTACATTTTAAATACAATTTAAAGTCCTGTTTGTAAAATTTACATAAACATTAGGCATAAGGGCGAATGCATTTCCTTATATACAAATATACACATTTCATATAAGATATACATTTCTCAAATTATTAATTTAAACATGAATCAAGTATATGAATCACAATAAAATTCATCCCCTACCTGCTCCATAGAAGCAAAACTTGCATCAGCAGACCCTATCTGAACCTGTGGAAGCTCCACACTGAGATCAAGGCTAAAGATAAATTTAAAAATAATCAGAATAAATGAATGTTAACAAAAGGGCACACAACCTGACACCCAAACCCTACTCACAAACACTGCAAACCTTATTTAAGCAATTATTACCATGGACGTAATTAATTAATGACACATTACTCTTCTAAAAAATTGATAAATGTCACCCACTGTTCATTCTAATCATAGATTACTGTAGACAATAATGTTTATCATTTTATTTATAAAGACATCATGGTCAAGTTATTCCCCTAAATAAGAAAGACTGGAAGTAAGTTGTCCATATTAGACACCAGACACAGCAATAGCTGTGTGGAAAAGGTTACTAATTACTTAAAGAAAAACAAATGACCAGCTGTTAGGTTTATAATTTTTTGTCCTTTGTACAGTTTACACATATTGTTCAGTTTGTAGGATTCACACCAGACTTGTGAGTCAATGGCCTGATCACTGCCTTTTTCTCCAAATCTTTAGACAATTTCTATGCATTGGCATATGCTGTGCATATCAGACAGAAAGCAAATGTATGAATATCCTTTTACCCTTTGATCATCTCTATTGATCTCTTAATAGCGTACTCTGAACGGAACTATCTCCAGAGATTTTAAAGAATATGCTTTGTAGTTTGAAGAGTCATGTTTATGTGCAAAAGCCTAGAAAATGGTAAGCTCTTGAAACACTAACTCTATAAAGGATCAAAAACAAAAGTTGTACTAATGGTTTAAAAGATGAATTTATCAATCCATAGCAAATGTATATAGTGCTTATGCTTCAGTCCAGGACCTCACATATACTAGGCAAAAAAAATGCTAGCCACAACTTCACTTCATATTATCAAATTTTAGAACCTCTAAATATCAAATCAAGATTACTCAAAAGCACTGGAATAGTAAACACCTTACCCAACTTCATCTGCCAATTCCTGAAGCAGCATATCCACTTGGCTCTGAAATACACAAATGCATAATTCTGTAGTATTACCTTTTGGGGTAGATTCTGAGTGTGGTTTGGCGTGGGAAACTGATCTACAACTTTTAAAATGTGGTCTAGAGAGACAGTCAGCAGTTCAGTTCCTAGTAATCAGGTCCAAAGGCTCACACTGCCTTTACTTCCAAAACCTAGAGTATATAATGCCTCTGTCCTCCACAGGCACATGTACTCACTAGTACAGAGCTGCCTCCCACACAAAATTAAGGGTATAATAAATCTTTTGGGGGTAAAAACTAAAATATCAAACTCCTTGCCCTGCAAATCTTTTAAAACAAACCTTTAAAAGTATTTTTCATGCCACAAGAGGGCGCTGCACCACTTCAGAGAGCCATTTTCTGACTGTTAAACCTTAAAGTCTAACACTGAAGTTGTCTGAATAATAGTGACAGTCAGATTCACGTGCAATTCTCATCTCTGAGTAATCTAACACGGCAAGGGAATTACCTAAGTTAGAAATGCCATAATAATCCATTTTAGTTTTGTGCAAGAGTTAAATTTAGCTTAGATTTATTATTCTGCAAAGCAAGCAAATATGACATCAAAATAACTTTTTAGAAAGAATTATCAGTAGACAAAATATACCTCAAGTATGTACCTATGGTGCAGAACCCTATGAGGCTTCAAATATGGACTTAACCAACTGCAGAACAAAAACATTATGAGAAGAAATTGTTCATGTAACTTACAGACTTCACCTTGGTATCATTTCTACAACTCAGAGCTACTTATATAGCACTTACATTGTGCTAGACATTACATGTAATTAAGAGGCAACTTAAACATGTGAGAGGTATATATGTTATATATAGACAACAGAACAATAAATAGGGACATTGAGTATCCTTGGGCTATGGTGTCTACTAGAGATTGTGGAATTAATCCCATACAGATTTCTAGTTATTTTTTTGTTGTTGCTACTTTGAGACAGGGATTCGCTGTGTAATTTACTGTGGTCCAAGTCCTAGGTTTACAGATGCATGCCATCACAACCAGTCCTATAGTGAAACAGTTACTGTGGTAGGAGAGTTCAAGAAATAGTCTGTTTAATCAAAAACCTCTTATTTTCACACAGTTCTTAAAAATGTTTTGAGCATGCAAGAAGAAATTCTAAAATGTGGTCACAGTTCTACCAGTAACAATTGCATGGTTTAAAACAAAAGACAAACCTTCCTGTTGGAACCTTCCTTTCTCTTGTTCTTTTAACTGCTTCAGAAATGTTTCCAAATGTAGAAAAGGTTCACAAGATGATAAAACACACGAAGAAGCTTGTCTTTTTTTAACTCCATATCTAAAGTAGCACTGTGTCCTTCAATTTAAGTATCAGATTGTATTATTCTACAGCTTACCACCTTCCTTAATATTCTAAGATTTAATTTTATTGCTGTCTAACCAGAGGACGGAAGGGAACTTTTGCCAGCTATGTTTCAGACAGGTAATTAATATAACCTTAAAACCTTAAACAGTAAACAATTCAACAAATAAAATGAACAAATAAACTGAACACAGAGGTTTTTAAAGAAGTATAAATGGCCGGGCAGTGGTGGCAAACGCCTTTAATCCCAGCACTCAGGAGGCAGAGACAGGGGATCTCTGAGTTCGAGGCCAGGCTGGACTGACAGCCTCCAAAACAATACAGAGAAAGCCTGTCTCGTAAAAACCAAACAAACATAAAAAAGAAGTATAAATGGCCAAAACTATGGAAAGGTGTACAGCATCCTAAGGTAAAAATGCAAATTACATTGACATTCTAGCACTTACTACACCAGAATGACTATCACAAAACAAACACGGGCAGGCCATCTTCACTTTCCTTCCTGTCCAACACTGCAATTTCCCAGGCACATCCTCAGTCGTGTAACAGACTGCTTGAGGGTCTTGTCCTCCCTCTCTGTCTTCCTTCCCTGGAGACTCCACCTAACCTTGCACTGGACCCAGCTTCCCTCCTTCCTGTTGACCCTCTCAGCCCCACCTCTAGTCCATCCCCTTTCTTTCCCATAAGTGTCCCCAATCCCAAAAACACTTCCTACCCAGGATCTGAAGTGGCCACTCCAAAGAGGTGATTCACACTGTCCCCCTGGTCCTCCATTACAATCTCTCCATTGTCACCCTCAGCCCTGTAACAACCAACCTGCTTACAGGTGCCCCTCCTCCTACCTCAACTTCATTCACTGGAGACTCTAACACCTGGTTAAGACCCCAGGTACTCCTTGCCCTTTCATCCCCATCTCTCTAGAAACTTCTGTGCCTTACTGTGTGACCTACTTGCTGGATCCCCTCTTCCCACCATACCTCCAACTCCCTGTGAACCACACCTCTAGGTGTGAATAGGATCCCCTTAGCCCTTTCTGAAGCCTCTCTCAGCCTTTTCTACCAGTCCCATCTATTCCTCTCTACAACCCTCTAGCCTGCAGAAGCACTCCCTTCTAGGCAACTCAGAGCCAACACACTTCCCTAAGTTCCAGAGAGAAAAAGCAAGCAAAAGAGAAGGACTTCAAAATAGCTATCATGAATATGTTCAAGGCCCTTAAAGAGGAGACAAACAAAGCCCTTAATGAAGTCTGGGAAAACAGACAGAAAGTATACTGAAATGATAAATACAATTCAAGACATGAAAGCAGGAATAGAGGCACTAAAGAAAACCAAACAGGGTCTGGAGAAATGGCTCAGTGGTTAAGAGCACAGGCTGCTCTTCCAGAGGACCCTGGTGAATTCCCAGAGCCCACAAAAGCAGCTCACAAGTGTCTGTAAACTCAAGTTCCAGGGGATCTTACACCCTCACACAGACATACATGCGGGCAATACACCAATATTCACAAAATGAAACTACATTATTAAAAATGACAAACCAAACTGAAGTAATATAGGAAATGAAAAATTTAGGAATTAAGCTAATAACCTCAGTGGTAAGCCTCACTGGCAGAGGACAAAAGAATGAAGAGAGGATTCAGGCATTGAAGACAAGATAGAAGAGAAATGGACACTTCAGTCAAATATGTTAAAATCTAAAAAACCCAGGTAAAAGTCATCCAGGAAATCTGGGACACTATGAAAAGGATAAATCTGCAAAGAGTAGTAAAGGAAGGAGAAGAACCCCAGGTCAAAGGCACAGAAAACATTTTCAACGAAATCATAGAAGAAAATTTCCTAACATAAGGAAGGATGTGCTGAACCCCAGGTGGGACTGCCCCCCCACCCAGCATGTGCTCTGCCAGCATAACTCCAACTCACCCTCCTCTCATCACCATATCCTGGCCCACAACTCTGCTAGAAGACTCTACCCTATCAGAGGCCATGTCAGCTGCCCAAAAAGCAGGTAAAGCACCCCCACACAGCCCATGTCCTGCCTGTGCCTGCCCAGCATAACCCCAAGTGCCCCTCCTCTCCTTGTCACACATAGCCCTGGCCACACCTCTGGTAGAAGCCTCCTACTCCACCAGAGGCCAGGCCAGCATCCTGAAAACCAGATAAGACTGGCCCTACACCCCTCCCCCTGTGCTGGTGTCTGCCCAACATAACCCCTCCTGCCTCTCCTGTCCTTGTCACCATATTCTGGCCCACACCCCTAGCAGAAGCCTCCTACTCCACCAGAGGCAAGGCCAGCATCCTGAACCCTAGGTGAGACTGCCCCCATCCTGTTTCTGCTTGCTTAACATGATTCCACCTCCCCAGCCCGCTCTTCATCACCATATCCCAGTCCACACCTCTGACAGAAACCTTCGACCCCATCAGAGGCCAGGCCAGCTCCCTGAAACCCAAAGGCCAGGCCAGCATCCTAAATCCCAGAGGCCAGGTCCAGTATTCTGAATCCCAGAGATCAGAGCAGCATCCTCAACCGAAGAGAACAGGCCAATTCCCTGAAAAAATGGCATAAGCCTCCTATGCCACCAGAGGCCAGACCAGCATCCTGAACTCCAGAGGACTCCTGGCCAGATCAGAGGCCACACACATAACCAACACTCAAGCCCCAAAACTTGGGCAGCACCCACTACTAGAACAGAGGCCATCTAGGCCACCAGAAGTCCAGCCCCAACACAGGTGGAGACCCTCTACTTAACCACAGGCCACAGTGGCTAGAAGACAAGACAGGAAAGAGAAAGTAAGGAAGAAAACACCCATACAACAAAGACAAATTCAGAAATTACCACCTAGAGCTATAATCACTCTAAATCCAGATGCCTAAATGTCAGTGTAAAAACACAAACATTCAGAGCAGTATGCCACCAACAGAGTCCAGCCATCCCACTACAGCAAGCCCTGAATATTCCAACATAGGCGAAGCATGGTATTTTTATACATTGGGTCTCATAGCACTCTGCCTGGACATGTTTGACTGTGTATTATGATGTCTGATTTTGTGGGCTTGGGAAGTTGTCCCTGTGTGCATGTGTCTGCAGGTGTATGTGCTTCACATACAGTTTTTATTTACAAGTAATACAAGAATTACACAATTTTGTAAGCTATATTTGCACAGATAAATAGCAAAAGCTTAACCATAGTAAAGAAGGCATTATCAACTATGTAGGGTAATGATTTCCCCAAAGAGACACTATACAATTAACTATTCTTCTGTATCTATTTGTACTTTTGTGAATTAACTAAAAATACTTAAAACACTACCATTTTTATCTCTTCCTTTTCAGCTGTTACTTCTTCATCACATTTCTTGGCATTCCTTTTAAGTTCTTGTGCAGCAAGCTTCAAATTAAATAACTGTTCTGAAAATATAGGTTAAGGATAACTACTCAAAAAGTTATTTTACCAGCATAAAGACCCACAAACTTGATGCTGAAACCATTACAAAAATGATCAGATAATATTACGATCTAAGTCAATTAATCACAAATTATCTAAGGAAAGAGAACAAACTATTTCTTTTACATTTTCTTTCACCCCAAATCCAGAAGATATGATATTAATTACAAATTAACTACTCTGGAGCTGCTTTGTAGACAGCATTTAACCAATTTTAATGCCATCAGTAATAAGGCATGTCAGTATTATTTACTCTCTGAAATGATGTCATGAGAACACATCCTCATCAGTATTGCATTGTTGCTAACAACCAACCTCCCTTGAAATAGACTGGCAGTGTCAAAGTCATGAAGAGCAAGGAACAACTGAACATCTGGCACAAACTGGAGGCCACAGAGACAAGGTGGCCGACTACATGAAACATTACTGGAAGCTCTGGGAAACTACCAGTAGCCCCTATTGAGAGACCACAGCAAGAATGTGGGAGGCAGAACCAAAGCAGAGACCATGCTGTGACACTGCTTTCTAGCTGGCTCCCCAAGGCTTGCTCAGCTTGCTTTCTTATTATCACCTGGGGCATCCTGCCAAGGGATAGCACTGCAAAAGGTGGGCTGGACCCTCCCACATCAATCATTAATCAGGAAAATGCCTCCAGGTGCTGCCTACAAGGTTCCCTCTTCCCAGATGACTAGCTTGTGTCACTTTGACAATGAAACCAGCCAGCACAGTAAAACACAAACCTGAGGAAAACCGAGAAGAAAATTAGCTAACTGGAATACACATCTGAATTATAATGAGAAGATAAACAGCAAGAGAAATACACTAAAATGGCCTTATACTATCTGCAATATTTGGGCTAGAGAGATCGCTCTGTGGTTAAAAGTACTGCTGGCCATTTCAGAAGAACCAGGTTCAATCCCAGCACTAACAAGCGAGCTCACAACTGTCTGTAACTCCAGTATCATGGGATTCAATGCCCTCCTTTGGGCTCCATAGACAACAGGCATGTATCAGTATACAGTTATACATGCAGGTAAACACTCATACATATATAACAATAAAATAATTTTTTAAGATCTGGAATCGTTAAGCATATTAGACATAGAAAATTTATCCTTTGGGCTGTAAACAAACACTGAAAGAAATATAAAAAAACATAGCTCAGTAGTTAATATATTTGCTTCCTTTATGCTTTTCTGTAAGAATCTAAAACTGAAAGGGAAACTGTCTTCTATATTTAGTATTGAGTAACACAATGACTGGAATATGACTTATGAAATGTAGTTTATTGGGACTCTGCCACAAAGGAAGACTGAAAATTAATGATGTAAACATTCACCACATAAAATCAGGAACAAGGTAAAATAATCTCCTAAAGACCATCAGAGGGGAAAACATGCAAAAATACAAAATGATAAAAATGTCCAAAGCTTCTTTCCCTGTAAGATCTGACATTTGCTGTGTAATAACTAATCTAGCCAAACAGAGGAGGCATAAACAGAATAAGGAAAAAAAAACACTTCTAAATAATTCATTAGGGCATTAAGTCATAACACTTGCAATCTATATGTAAAACACTCGTAAAATGAATATTACTAGATCAATGAAGAAACTAAAGTCTCAATAATTCAGAATTTCTGATGTAAAACTTTAGAATACTTTCACACTTAAATGAATGTCACAAGAACAGGGGTAATGGTATTATTGGAGGATTTTGCCAAATATTTAAGAAAACAGCAATTGAGCAACCTCATCACCAGTCACCTGCATCCAGAAAAGGGCAGTTTGCCAAAAGTTATTTGTCCACTTGGTGCATTCAAAGCCTCATCTCCACCCCCATACCATAGGTAAAATTCAGCCGCTCCCCTCTGCTCTGGCACCATCCCCTTTAACCTCATGCATGCACTAGACAGGTATGCAGTTTAGTCTATTGCCTCCAATCCTTTCAAAAGACCTAACAATTTCTAGGAAAAGAGCTAACAATTTCTAAGCTATTCAAATAAATTGTACTTCAGTGTATACAATTTTGATAGGCATTACGATTTCTTTTTACCTTGAAAATACCTTTGTAGGTTTGAAAGGTCAGATAATATGCTTTCCAAACGCATCAGGTGGGTGACAGAGGATGTATGCCACGCTCTAGCTCAGTTTTATTTCCCTTTAGAACTGGGGGGGGGGGGAGTAACACATCTTCTGATGAATAATTCAATGCTGTTCACCATACGGTAACATTAAAAGTGCACTACATTCATTAGTTTTTTAAAGTGCAGTAGAAACTGGGCCTGTCTTAGTCATGTATTCTTTTCATGAAATAACCTATCTGCACCCTTCCTCAAAGGCTAACATTTCAATTTTCCGTGTCATTTAGCTATTGCTGTTGGAGGTCCGGGTATTATGCTGCCCCCGCCCCCTGATGATGGGCGGGGCATGCACAGTGACCCAGCTACATCATCACTACTTTGCTGGTTACTAGACACAGTGCGCATGCGCCGTTTCCCTTTCTTAAGCTCCTCCACCATCTTTCCCTGTCTCTCTCTGTTCCAGTTGGCCCCTTCTCACCCCTCTCCTTCTCTTCTCTACCAATAAACTCCACGTGGGACTGGTGACTCAGTTTGTTTCATTACCGGTAACTTAAACATAACTTGAGCAAATTAACAACAAGTGCTACACAAGTTATGTTAGCAACATTTTCTGTGTGAAATAAACAACCCATCAGAAAGTTTAACTGCATTTCAGCCTTATAAACTAGCAAAGCCAAAAGATCTTCTAACACAAGCCACTGAACAGTTGCCTACATTTTGTTGTTACCACCTTGGACTGGAAAGAAAAAGCAAATTACTGTTTTCTCTAATGCCAACCTCTGGAAGAAGTAAGAATTACAGCAACATGGAGTCGCTCTGATGGACTTTTAGGAGTGAAAAACAGTTTCGTCTTCATGACGTCACCAGGCACCTTCAATCTTGGCCCCTACTAATTGCCTAAGTGGCCACATAGGTATGGCTGAGGGATTTCACTGCTTTAGGAATGACCTTACTTTACTCAGGTGTTAAATCAGCATGCAGCCGGAAGAGGAAGCAAGCACAGATAGTTCGGAGGGCTCCCAGTAATTGCTCAACCTCATCACCAGCCACTACATCCAGAAAAGGGCAGGTCGCCAAGTTATTTGTCTACGTGGTCATTCAAAACCCACATCTCCGCCCCCAAATCATAGGCAAACTTGAGCCACCTCCCCCTGCTCCGGCACCATTCCCTGTCAATTTCAAAGATGCCAAAACTCCCGGATAAGGCAGGTGACATAAGTCCTCAACAAGAGGTGGTAGGGGCTCAACCATCGCGTCCCTCCACAGGCTTCCCGGACCCTCCCCACATTCTAGGAAGGTGGAGGCGACAGCTGCAGCGTGGAGGGAAAAGGAAAAAAAGGGAAACCCGGCGGCTGGAGGCCAACCATCCGCGCTAGAGCGCCCTCACCACACTCGCAGACCAAAAAGGTCAAACCCCTGGGCGTGTCCCCTGCCCCTGTCCTCGCCCTTCCCCGGCCCCTGGAGCCCCGGTAGCATCTCCATGGTTGGAAAGGATACTCTCCAAGTTCGACATGGTCTCAAGAGCTCGCGGCCCGGGAGCGAGGGAAGGGGGTCGCTGACACTTGGAACAGGGCAGGGGTGGCCGCGGGTCTGGTCGCCGGGTCCCCGGGTCGCGGGTCCCCAGGTCGCAGGTCTCGGGTCTCGGGTCCCCGGGTCGCAGGTCTCGGGTCGCGGGTCGCAGGTCGCAGGTCTGGGGGCTCTAGGGCGCGCGGAAAGCGGCGGTTGTGCCTGGCTTCTGTTGCAGTTCGGAATCCGTAGCGAGTGGAAGACAGGGATTCGGACTAAGCCATGAGGGCTACGGTGAGCAGCTGCGGTTAAGAAAGGATCCGGACGCTTGGGGGCGGTGCAGGGCTGAGAGAGGACTCTTAGGTCCTGCACCCTCAGGTGCTTCATGTGCGCTCAGGATAACTGAGCTTCACCTGGTCCTGCATCCCATCAGCCTTCTAGTTCTTTCTTTCCTCAATCCAGACCCTTCCCTTCACCTCGTCCCTCAGATCCTCAGATTTCTGGTGCTTCACGTGTGCTCAGGACAACTGAGCCTCACCTGGTCCTGCATCCCACCAACCTTCTAGTTCTTTCTTTTGTCAGCCCAGACCCTCTCCCCCCGACCTCGTCCTCAGATTCCACACTGTCCTTGGTGCCCCCATCCCTTTTTCTCAGAGCTTACGTCTTAAAGGATGAAGACAACGGTATAGGACTTTTAAAGTACTTTTTAAAAATTGTAACAGTGTAAAATAACGGCTTGTGGGGGTTCGTGTAGCTAGTAATGTTGAGGTTTTAGACAGGATAGTCCACTTAGTTCAACATTTAGCACACTGCCATATACAAATCCATTTTTTCTGTTTTCATTTCATCACTGAAGTTAAGTATTTTCAGCCTAGATCTCACATGTCCTGTGAGTACTTCGCTAGAGAAAGCAATCTGTTTGCAAGCACATAGCACAGTAAAATGCATATATTAGGTGAAAAGCATTCTAAGTAAGTTTTAGCCATGAAAAAACTCCGAAAGTTATCACTGTCCATGGATGAAGTCAACAGTTAGGTCCTGACTTTATAGAACTGCAGACTTCATAAAGCCCCACAAAGATTTCTGTTGTGGACAACAATGTTGTGGGTATATAATGTTTTGAACAATAATATTGGCAATGAATTTTTGTATTCCCGTTGTCTGGGGATAAAAGCAAATAACTGACTACTGGGAATGTATGCCAGCTTACAAATCATAATTTACCTTGCACATAATTTCTTTAGATACATGGGGCACTAAGGATGCTTTGTCTTTGCATCTCAGCGCCTAGCAAGGACACTGTTTTATAATAAATCGCTGCCACTCAGCCGTGCATTCATCCGACGCTGAACGCCTCATATATTCATAGTGTTCAACAATCACGTATATGCTTTATTTGCACGGCATAACAAATGGGGCAGAATTTTAAAAGCCTGGCACCAAACAGGAAAATGAACTGTTACATTTATGTGGTACCCCAAAGTTCACAAAATGCCAACATACACATTACTATCAGGTTTGGGCTCACTGAAATGTAGTCTGTATATCTCTCCAGTGCCCATAAGAAAGATGGTGCCATACATAGATGGTCAATATTGGTAGATTCATTCAGCAGGCATTTAAACGCCCTACGTTCCAGGGCTAGCCTCAAATGTCTAGGCTCAAGTGGTCTTGCTGCTTCAGCTGCCTGAACTCAGAGCATATGCTACCACACCCAGCTTGTTAACTATTTATACTATTCTTCTCATTGTAGGCCAAGAATACAATGAGAATTTTGTAGAGACCATGCCTATTTTACAGGCAGTTTTATTTCTGTAGAAAATATGCAATGTCTTACACTTCTGTAGTACTTCATGGCTAAGAAAGTATACACAGCCATAACATTCTCCTCTATTACCTGGGCAAATGTTCTTGTGTTAGCTTGCCCTCATCACTAAAGTCTTGACTGATTCAACTAAGCATTATCTCATTCCTTGTAAATAAATAGTGTAGAATGTAAACAGTCTTAATTTATGGCAAAGTTACTCAAGATAATTTATCTTGTATTTCATGTACCTAACACCAAACCTAACACATAGGAGGTAGTTAGTATTCATTCATCATGCACATAAAGCTATTGACAGCTGTATAGTGCTTTAGTTTACAAAGCACTTTACTGTGTTCTTTTTTTAAAATGTCCCCCTTTCTTATCCCTGGTGCTGAGCATGGTATTTTGCAAATTATAAGGTGATCACAATAGGGTAGTCAGTTTCCATGAGTTTTCATTTCTGCTATTGGTATAATGTATTTTACTGGAAATCACCAAAGCAATAGAATCACATTGGCCTTAAGTATATAGATTATGCTTCACTCAAGCATAGCACATAGACCAGTAGAATGCATGTACTCCGTAATAGGCATTCATTAAACACTGACTTGGAAGTTTTAGTGTGCTTTATGGTTTACAAAGTGTATTTATCCATTTTTATGTACCTGGTAACATCATCATGTTACCTAGAAGTGACCCCAATTAAGCATCACACCCTTAGTGCTCAGCACAAGATAGTCATAAAGAAGGAAAGGACTGGTATTCAGACATGTTCCCTGGAATTTATATGAGGGCTTGGTCAAGTGCAGGAAACCGGCCAGTAAGGGATTTTTACCTTCTGAAAAGGTTTTGGTTTTTGGTTTTGGTTTCTTTTTCTTTTGAAGAGAATATGCGACTGAGACCAACAGCCCACAAAGCCTCCGGTGAGGTTTTAAAGTAGATCTGAGCCTTGGAGTTTTAGACTTCAAGGGGAAGGGGGAAGAGTAAGGCTCCGCTTACAGGTAGTGTTGCTATGAAAGACCTTTTCACACTAGTTGGATTCTTTTAGTTTTCTTCAGCACAGATGATGTATTATATAAAATTAATATAAAATCTTTATAATGGGTGGGTACAGGAACTACAGCATTCAGATGACCGCGGGCAGGGCACTCACAGTGACCTGGCTACATCATCACCATGTCACTTGTTAAGAGACTCAGTGCACATATGCAGCTTCCCCTATTTAAGCTCTGCTGCCATCTTTGCCTGCTCTCTCTCTCCCGCTGAGGTTGGCCCCTTTTCACATTTCTTCTTTTCCTCTCAACCAGTAAACTCCATATGTGGCTGTTAGGTTCCTGTTTCATTACTGGTAACCGTACCAAAATACCAACTGTGGGAGTGCGTTATTACAAATAGTAGATAGTGCTTGGCGTTTGTAGATTCGACTTACGAAAATGTCTAGCCGTGAACTCATTAGATGTCCTCTTTGGACTTAGGAAAAGAGGGAATATTAGGCATTATTATTGCATTTCAATTTCAATATCATAGAAATTACATCTACTAAGATACTACTTTGAGAGTTGGTATAATTATAATTGATCAATCTCTGAAGTTCGGCATTTACTGCATCTTTAAATTCAACCTGTGGAAATGTGTGCAATGTCATACATTTTTTATCCTTAGGGCTACTTATTTTTTAAAACCACTGGCTCTAAAAGTGAATATTGTGTTAATGGTGGTTGGCCATAAGTTTCAGATTGTTTTCTAACTATGAATTGAACTGTCGGTGCTTCTTTAAAAGGAAAAAAAAATAGAACACTCAGTACAAGACTCTGAGGAAGTACAGTATAGAAATAATTTCCAAAGGCAGAACACTGTAAAGATTATTTTTAAGTTTGTATCTCAGTTTATAGTTGAAGAACAAGACTTAAATTATAAAGCTTAAAACTTTGGAAATTTCATCAGTGTTCCATGTAAGTTAAACAATTGTATTTCAGTGCTGGAAAACTAAGTTTGGGGGATAAAGTAAACATACGTGTTTTAGAAGACTTGGCCTTAGCACTTACTATTTTTAACATCATACTTTCAGTAAAATGATAGACCAATCCACCAAATTTTAACCATTTCTAGGTTTTAAAAAGCTGTGAATTTGTTAGAATTACATGTATGTAATGTGTAAAAATTAATCTGAAATTTTTAAATGTTTTCAAATTATACCATTTCTCAAGAGGCATCTTCTTGGGATAAGATCATTTTTTAAATAAGATGTTTAGAGACAGCATTTGATGCTGCTGTCTTAAGAACAAAATCTGCTATATAGTCTGTACTAAACTTAATAGGATTTTTTATTTTGTATAAGGTCTTTGCTCTTTTGAATACCAAAGTTACCCTTATATTCTTCTTGACTATCTGAGTTTTTAAAGTGAGTTTTATTTAAAAACAGTAGTTTAGCCAAAGAAATTTTAGTGTGCATGTGTGTTTAGTTAGAGTGGCTGGTTGCTGTTGAAAGAAATGGCACATTTATAAGTCACATAAGAAAAATACAGAAAATAGACTATAGCTTGAATTGTTTTATTAAGTGTTTAATGCATTTTAAATAGTATTTCTATGGTATATGCACCACAATTTTCTGTGTATGACATACAAAGTAATTAATTTGTGACATGCCATCCAATTTAAGGGAAGAAACCTATTTTCTATGAATCCACCTGTGTACACTTAGTATAGTTTTCTGACCCTAAGCCTCTTTTTCAGAAGCAGCCTCTTGTTTGAGTACATGTTTAATTTCACAGTGTTTAAAAATAGTTTTGCTATAGTGTTTGCATTTCCAATCAATGTATAGCCTGCTTTTGCATTTTCATATATGAATGAAATACAGCTTTGTGCTCCTGTCTTGCTTTTGTAGTTCATCATAAAGTTTCTCAGTTGTGTTAAAATATATAGTGGTGATGGATTTATTTTGCTGCTCTAAAGTGTTCCACTGTGTGAAGTTACCATTATTTATCCATTTTCCTGTGAAGGAACCAGCCCCCCTCCCATTTCAGCAGCCATGACAGGCTGACATGTGCTCCCATGACCTTGCAGCTCCTGGCCTGGTCACTAAGAGGTTATACGCCCTCCTCTTGGCAAGAAACCAATCAGAAGTTAGCTGGCAGGGCTGTGCTTTAGGGCTCTGGCTGTGCTTTATGGACAAGTGCACCGCAGTGACTTGCAGAGCATAGCAACCGCCCTGGGAGGGCTTATGGGCCATAACAACCAGTTGACCAATCAACACAGGGCAGATCGTCCAAGCCTGTAAGTGCACCAATCCTGAAACGTTTGCATACCCCTTAGACACTCCCCTTATGCTGCCTTATAGGATCTCTGCCTCATGATTTCTTAGGGTCTTTCTCCAGTCATCTGCTGCTGTGAATGGATGAAAGGCCCTCGCTAATGGGTTAGCTCTTTAAACAATTACAATAAAAGACTCTTTGCTTTTTCATAAAAATGGGCCTCTTGGTGATTTGGGGGTTCAGA